CTTCATTTAGCTTCCTATAAACTAACTATTGAGTAAAACCATTCGAGAATACAAGATTGAGCTTAAATTTCTGCTTACGCATTTTGGGTGACTTCATTTTGTCCTTCAGCTATCAATTTCATCATCATGTGACTACACCATGGATCAGAGAATCCATTTGTTGTTGACTTCACCTGTACGGCTGTACCTCCCCTGCCAATTATGTCTAAGAAATATGATGTACATCCAACATCCTTATCTTCTAGTTTTGACGAATCACATCGACTTGCTATAAAGGGGAAAAAAAAGAAAAAAACCAAATATAACTGTTCAATGACCACCTCAACCAAAAACTTTAGCTATTATTATTTAATACTAATATCTCCAATTCGCCCCCTAAAGTTCAAGCGAATTACATTTGAAGCCTTACACTTGAAATATTGAAATGGGTGGCGGTGATATTCGAACTCATGGCCTTTCATTTGGTCTGACTCTGATACATGTTGAATGACTACCTCAACCAAAAGTTTAAGGTATTAGTGAAGTGTATCATTTGTTACTAATATCTCCAATAATAACAGTGATAAAGCATATAAAGTATATTGGCATCATTCACTCTAGTATCCCCTTGAAAGGCTCGTAGATTTTCTATAATAATATCTCCCTGAAACTTACCTGAATAGTAACGGGAACCAGATCGAAGAAATTGCAGAAACCAGCATGCTTGCCAAGTTCAGATTTGTGTTAAAGGAATGTAATATCTAATAATTTTAATTTTTTTTATGAGATCAGAGCACGACAGCGAATACAAGTGTTTTACATAAGGTGGGAGGTATTTTGCAGAAACAAGATGGATGATTCAATCAGAGCCTAAAACTTAACTTATGATTTTTAATTTGGAGTAAACACAAAACTTACTAAATTGAAAAGGAAACTATCTATAACCACTGGACCCTAACATTTAGAGGGAAAAAATATGAATTGCAAAATACAAGAAGTTTATAAACAAACAAAATCATTAAAAATTCAAATAATGTAGAAGATAAAACAAACAAGGGGCATTAAAATTTTCGCCATCAAAATAAAAATCACGGAAACAAGTTTATAGAAATAAATTACATGAGAAATAACTTTTAATTCCAAGTTATATTTGTCTACCATTAGACAACATTAAACCATCAGTTAAGTGCATAAAATTTAGGGTGCATTCCACTTTTCCTCCATTGTACTTTGGTTGAATATGACTTTACTTGAAACATTGTCTCAATGTGGCCCGCGTCGTTAGTTTTCAGATCTTTGATATAAGTCTGGAAATTACAAAAAACCCATCCTCCTAACTTAAATAATTATTAAAAAAATACAAAAAAAAAAATCAAAATAAATGGTTACAGACATCGTGGACTATGTTCTCGTTGTCTTGAATTTTTTGTTATTTTATTTTTAGTTTTTTTGTTTTTTATTTTTTTAAATAATTATTTAAATTGGGAGGGGTGGCAATTTTATAATTTCAGAGTTTAGATCAAACGGTGTTAAGGTCAAATGTCTGACAACTAACAACGAGGACCACGTTGAGACAAATTTTCAAGTATAGGGGGGCAAATCGATGTAATTGAGAATAAAAGGGGGTAGAGTGATAACGAACCAAAGTAAAAGGGGGAAAAGTGGATTTTTCCCTAAAATTTATATCACTAACCAATAGAGATAGTCAAGCCACCAAAAGTGAAGTCTCGGAGGAACTAAAACATGACAATCCAATATAATCATCTAATACAAAACTACCAATAGCAATATAAAACCCATTTAATAGATTATTTCCTATTTATCCACTCATAATTCATAACATTAACAAAGATTAATAACATGGCAGTTCAACTTCCTATTTTCATAAACGGAATGTGGAATACCAAGAGCCACGTAAAACAAAAATTAAATTATGGTTTCTAGAAAATGTATAACTTAGTCTTGTTGGAGAAAGACTAACAACTTTGATGAGATTGGATCACTGGCTAAACCCAAGTCATGCGACATCACCTTTGGATTAAGTAAAGAAAACAGCTGGATCAATACATTTTCTTTCTTTTGTTATGAGTCCTGATAATGTACATACGTGAATTTGAGGTGACAAGAAGTCAATTGAAATAGAAAGTCCTTACAAATTTCACGCATAATATTCTTAGTCACAAACTATATCACAATGAATCTTACCTGCCAATACATAAATAAAGAATTGAACGGAAAAATAAAATGTAATTGCAAGTAAATGTAGTAGATAAAAGTTAAATCAATAATCCCCATGCATAGACCATTAATTTTATGAAACTGACACGTGTTTCGAATTACCTGAGTAAAAATAATTTTAACTCAATAATTCCCATGTAAATCAATAATCCCATGCATATAACCCATACATGTTTCATTAGGTCAATTAATTCGAACGAATAAGAAAAAAATAACATAGTACATAGAAGTGATAAAAATATGCAAAATAATTTACGAACTTTATTAACAGAGGCTCAATCCGGTCTTGATATGGAGAATTTATTTCTTCATTAATCTAGAAAACTTTATCAATTTCCCAAAATATAGGGTTCAAACTATTAAACATAGAACTGAAAACAAAACAAAAAAAAAAAAAGAAAAAGAAGAAGACGAAGACGAAAAAGAAATCGAGAAGAGAAAGAAAAGATGAAAGAGAACTTCAAAATGGAAGTTACGATCATTCTCTTTTCTTTCTTTGGTGTAACCGATGCAAAATTGAAATTCATATTGAATTATCGAGACCATTGAGTTTCTTTGAATTTCTTGTATGACTAACATTTAATAGATACATAAGTTCATCTTTTCCGGTGCCTTTATACATTGACCTCTAAAAAATATCAATTATTTTTATAACCATACATTAAAAAGACTAATTATAAATTAATATTAATTATTTTAATTTTGATAGGGGCATTTTGGTCATCACAAAAAAAGGGAAGAAACCTCCCCTAACATTCCCACTTTTATAAGTAGTATAGCTTATATTGATGGATTAACTTTAAAATCATTGTCAACTACACGTTGGGAAAGTCATATTGAAAGTGTTAAAATAATTTTATCTCAAGTTTCACAATTAGAGAAGCATTGCTTAAATTGGTAGAAATTAGTGATGATGCCAAACTAAGTGGAGATGCTGAATCATTAGCATTACGAGAACTTTTAAATTTTGAATTTATACTAAGTTTCTTTATTTGGCATGATGTTTTGCTTCGAATTAATGTAGTTAGTAAGAAGTTACAATCTGAAAATATGTGTCATGATGTTGCTGTTAAACAATTGGAAGGATTGATTTCATTTTTTTGAGAATTATAGATTAAATGGATTACATTCAACCATTATTGAAATTGAGCATGTATTTGTTAAAAAAAACAAAACTTAGTAGGAAGAGGCATTTTGATGAGACTTTTAATAATGACAGAGAGAACATACATCAGCAGAAGAATATTTTAGAACATATTATTTTCTTGTAATAGTAGACAATGCTCTTTCTCAATTGAGGAGTAGGTTTGAACAATTGCAATTTTTTCAATCTATTTTCGGGTTTTTATTCAATGCAACAAAGTTTATTTCATTAGATAGTAAAGAATTGAAGTGTCATTGTGAGAATCTTGAAAATGCTTTAAAATATGGTGATGTTTATGATGTTAATGCTAGAGATTTACTTTCTGAATTAGAGGTGTTGCAAGCTATGTTACCAAGTGAATCATATAAAATAAATAACCCATGGAATTGCATTAAAATATTAGAGTTTGTAAAAAGTATGGATATGTTTCCAAATGTAATGGTTGCTTATAGAATATTGTTGACTATTCTTGTTACTGTGGCATCCGCAGATCGGAAAGAAGTTTTTCCAAATTAAAGTTGTTGAAATCTTATTTGAGAAGTACAATGGCTCAAGAAAGGCTTAATGCTTTAGCAATACTATGTATTGAAAAAAATATGTTGGAAAGTATTTCATATGATAGTATAATTGATGATTTTGCTTCTAAAAGTGCAACAAGAAGACATTTTAAATGATACTTTGATTTTTTTTTTTGTTTTTTCTTATTATTTTGTAGCTGATGCTTAACTGCGGTGATCAAGCTACAAAGCAAATGGATGCTTATTTGTATCGTGTGATCTTACTTTTTCTTTTTTTTTTTTTTTTTTTTTTTTTGCGTTTGCTACATTTTTTGGGTTAGGGTACTCTTTTTCCTTCTTAGGGGTTTTGTCCTAACGGGTTTTTCCCTAAGAAGGTTTTAACGAGGCTGAAATAATTATAACACATTTTTCTGTAAACTCGTATTATTGTAATGAACCTACGACGTATGAAAGAAAATTATACGTTTCATTATTTCAGTATATGTTTACAGAAAATTAATTAAATTCCTTAACTAAGGGCACATTTACATTTTTTTGCTCAGGGCCTTCAATCCGTCCGGACCGGCCCTGATAAGTGCACTGGGTAAACCTACCCTCTCGTATAATCGCTTGCAATCCATACGAAAGACGTAAACTACACTAGGCTAACTATGTGTGACAAACTCGACCTAGCTACCATTGGCAAAGGATTATTATTATTAGTAGTAGTAGTACTACTACTATTGTTGTTAGTATATTGTCATTGTTATTTTAAATTTTGTGGCATATATGTGGTGAAATAATGTGAGAAAAAAAGTATGTATATGGGGGCAGCGTGTTTGTCTAAAAATCTGTTGTAATATGATCTGTGTGGACAGTAATAAATAACTTTATTTTCTGATTCAAAAAACGGTTATCTCACTTAGACTTGATCAACTAACACTTTGTTAGATCTACTTATTTCTTTTTCTTTTTTTATTTTTATTTTTATTTTAATTTGTTTGAGAAAGTTTGTTAGATCTATTTAGTCAAGTTTCTCAGAAAGACTGGATTGGATCCTGAATAACTCATTCTTTCTTTAATCTTAATTAGTATCTGCTGGGTTAATTCCATTCACTGTCTTTGAAGATCTGATTTTTTTTATTATTATAATAATATTAATAATCCGATGAGAGAAAAGGTATTAATAATAATAATGGTGATGGTGTTAGGTGATTGGTCAATTAGGGGTTGTTTAGGAAGGTTTGTAGTGGAGAAGAACAACTTGAAGGTGACGTCACCGGAATCGGTGAGGGGTGTGTACGAATGTGCGATCGGTAACTTCGGTGTGCCTCAGTACGGAGGTGTGATGGTGGGCTCCGTTTTCTACCCTAAAACCAATCAGAAGGGATGCAACACTTTCCAAGATTCTGATTTGTCGTCGAAGACGAAGCCAGGTGGCATTCCTCTCTTCGTCCTTGCCGACAGGGGAGGTACGTATTCGAATTAGTACTCGATAAATTAATAATCTCGCCTAGAAAAAAAAAATCTGGCCCTGATTCGGTGAGTAAAGTAGTAGAATTTCTTTAGTTTCGACTGTATAAGAGGTACGTGTTCGAATTAATACTCGATAAATTAATAATCTCGCCTAGATAAAAAAAAAAATCTGGCCCTGATTCGGTGAGTAAAGTAGTAGAATTTCTCTAGTTTCGACTGTATAACTGTATAGAAGTTTAACTGTATTATGTTGTATACGTATATGTAGGTAACTTTGTATATTGTAAATGTTAGTAGAAACCATTGTATGATACACAACACATTGATTTTTTAAGGGAGTAGTTTGCTATAAACATTGCATCGTAGGGGGTTTTTACTAATAATTATAAGACGGGGAGTTGTTTTAGCAATTTGATATAATACAAGTGTACTAAATACAATAAAATACACATGGGGTCACACACAAACATATATATATATACAACATTGTAATATTCGTCCTCTATGTGGGATTTAGTCCTTTAAGTTGTCCCTTTTCACTTTTATATACTAATGCAGTAAGTTTACTAATTTGGCATTTTTGGTCCTATTGCAGCTGAATTTTACCCATTGATAGATAATGTGGCTAACAAACTCGTCGAAATTTATTTATATGGACGCTTTAAAAATTATAATCGATCCTCTAACTTTTTTTACAAATTCACATGATAAAAAATCTATCTTGGCTAAGTTAGTTGTCGAATTAATAGTTTTTAAGTGTTCGTACAAGTAAAATTTCGTGAAGTTTTTTTGTCAGGTCATAAAATAAAAAATCCGTGCAAAATAGGACAGAGAATACTATATTTGCATAGCGATTGCATTTAAAATTGAAACATGACAAGTTAGAGGACTAAAATCCCTAAATGTGCCAACATCGAGAACCAAAACTACAATTTTCTCAGTTCCATATAACACTAGGTACTAAATGCAATAAATTATATATATATATATATATATATATATATATATATATATATATATATATATATATATATAGATCAGGGAAATTCTATTAATTTAGTGAATTATTACATTGTCGAGTTAATAATTTAACACGTGTTCACTGAGTCGGGACAGGGAGAACTATTATTTAATCAAGGTTATTAATTTATGGAGTATTAATTGAGTTGATTTGTGTATAATGGTGGTGGTGATCAGAGTGCTATTTCACACTCAAGGCGTGGAACGCGCAGAACGGCGGAGCGGCCGCCATACTAGTCGCAGACGACAGGGTGGAGCCGCTCATAACAATGGACACCCCGGAGGAAGCCGACGCAGCTCAAGCTAACTACCTCCAGAACATAACAATCCCGTCGGCGCTAATCAGCAACCAGCTCGGCGACAGGATCAAAAAAGTATTAGCCAAGGGAGAAATGGTGACGATATATCTCGACTGGCGCGAGGCCCTCCCCCACCCGGACGACCGGGTCGAGTACGAGTTCTGGACGAACAGCAACGACGAGTGCGGGCCCAAGTGCGAGAGCCAGCTGAACTTCGTCAGGATCTTCAAAGGCGCCGCGCAGATACTCGAGCAGAAGGGGTACACGCAGTTCACCCCGCACTACATAACGTGGTATTGTCCGGAGGCATTTATTATGAGCCAGCAGTGCAAGTCGCAGTGCATCAACCAGGGTCGGTACTGCGCGCCCGACCCCGAACAGGATTTTAGCAAGGGGTACGATGGGAAGGATGTCGTCGTCCAGAATTTACGTCAGGCGTGCTTCTTTCACGTGGCGAAGCAGAATGGGAAGCCGTGGCATTGGTGGGATTACGTCACGGACTTCTCCATTCGTTGCCCGATGAAACAGAACATGTATAATAAGGAGTGCGCCGATAAAGTCATTCGATCGCTCGGTACGTGTATATGTATATATAGTATAATGAATCGTTCTCCATTTTCAAAATGAATGTGCACAGTGCACTGGTTGTTTTTTGTTGGAGATATAAATATTAAATGATTCCACCTCGTTAATAGGGTTTTATTGCAATTAGTACATCTCTGTGTTATATCGAATTGCTAAAAATTATTTTATTTTTTTTTTTTTGCAAAAAAAAAATCCATGATGATTCATTTTTCTTTAGCAAACAACCCCTAAAAAGAATTAAATTATTCGGGGGCTTTTTGCAAATATAATAACATGGGGTAGTTTTTTAGCAATTCAATATAACACAATGGTACTAATTGCAATGACTGGCGGTAGCCAGTGACGAGTTCAGGAATGTGGTACAAGGTGGGCAAAAATTTTGGGGGTTGGGGGTAGCGCCCTCGAATTTTTTTCAGGATTTTTTAATGATCAAACCATAAAATAGGAAAAGAAGGAACAAAACAAAGAAAAAAAACAAATTTTAGAGTTTTTTTGCATTAATTTGGATTTTGGGTGAGCTAATTAATAAAATTTGATATTTTTTTGCATTAATTTGTATTTTGAGTGGGCTATTTAATAAAAAAAAAAATTGGGCTTCTTTTGAATTAATAAAATTTTGGGTGGGCTAAATAGATATATAGTATAATATAGGGGCATAAATAGTAAATTGAAGGTGAGCTTGAGTCCACCCTGCGGTAGCTAAATGAAAGGTCATGTGTTCGAATATCACCGCTATTCGTTTAAAAAATATCCAAGTGCAACGATTCAATTGCAATTCGTCTGCACGCACTTAAGGGGATGCGCAGGACTTATAAATATTAAACGATTCACCTTACTGATAGCTTAAAATTTTGGTCGAGATGGTCATTCGACAATATTCCAGTCGTCTGATTGATTGGCGGACTAATTATTTTGCGTGTGTTAGGATATGACGTTAGTAAGATAGATGAATGCATTGGAGATATTGAGGCAGATGATGACAACCCTATTCTAAAAGCAGAACAAGAAGCACAGGTTTTTTTTTGGTGTTTCTTTCTTTCTTACAAGCCATTCATTCTTATATACTTTGATTTAGTTTAACCTGCAACTTATTTCTTGCTCAGATTGGAAAAGGTACACGAGGAGATGTCACTATTTTGCCAACTCTTGTGATAAACAACAGACAATACAGAGGTACAAAACAAACACTACTACACTTTGTTTCATTTAATTAATTAAAGGGTAAATTACGGCCACTGTCCATGAGATAAGGTCAAATTACGTTAAAAAAAACTCCTCATGTTTGGGTAATTACAACCGCCCTCCTCAACTATGAATCTTCTTACACGTCCAATGGTGTCAAATTCAACAGAATCTTCTATATTCCGTGGAATGTTTTGTACTTTGTACTCATTTTGTGCAAAAATGCAGTTTCTGATTCACCACAATCTGATATTTATAAGCCAAGAGACACATCTTGTTTCAAAATGTGGAGTTCGAATAAGGTATAACAGGTACAAACTGGAGAATATTCTATTAAATTTGACACCACAAGGGTGAACGTGTAAGAAGATTCATAGTTGAAGGAGGTGGTTGTAATTACCCAAACGTGAGGGGTTTTTCGTAATTTGACATTTACCTAAGCAGGCGGCCGTAATTTACCCTTTAATTATAATAGTGAAATGTAAGATGATGGTATTTCTATGTAATTAATTTATTTTGTAAATATATATAAACAGGTAAGCTCGACAAAGGAGCAGTTCTCAAGGCGATTTGTTCGGGGTTCGAGGAGACTACCGAGCCCGCGATTTGTTTAACTAGAGGTCACTCTTTTTAAACTCATATTTTCATTAATTCTTGCTAAGTTGCTGTGTTATACTGTGCTCATGATTGCAATTATTAATGTGTTATAAAACCGGAAAGCAGATATGGAAACGAACGAGTGTTTGGAGAACAACGGGGGTTGCTGGCATGATCCGGCTGCTAATGTTACTGCATGCATGGTATTCTTATCGTTTTTCGTTTTTCTTTCTTTTTTTTTTTTTTTTTTTTTTGGGAATTCAACTTATTATTTTGGCTGCGAAATGGAAAATAAAATAAAACGTAACACAGGATACTTTCCGAGGGAGGCTGTGTCATTGCCCGACCGTGCAGGGAGTTAAATTCATTGGTGATGGTTACACTCATTGCGAAGGTATTTTAATGTATATTATATCGATAATTATACCGTTTAATTTGATCGAACCGAGCAAAAATATCAAAGTGAGTGCTTTATTATGTGACAGCTTCTGGAGCATTAAGATGTGAAATAAATAACGGAGGGTGTTGGAAGGAAAGCCAGTACGGACGAACTTATTCCGCGTGCACTGTGAGTAATTTGGCCGATGATAAAATTTTACAGTGAAAATTAAATGTCTTAAATACAGTTAAACCTCTATAAATTAATACAGTCGGGACTAGCGAAATTCTATTAATTTAGCGAAATATTAATTTATGGAACTAATAATTTAATATGTTTTTACCGAGTCGGGAACCGAAATAAATTATTATTTAAGCGAGGTTATTAATTTATCGGGGTTCTACTGTATATTTTGACTATGCATAAATAAATGTTTCAGGACGACTACAGAAACGGTTGCAAATGCCCGGCGGGATTCCGGGGCGATGGAGTTAATGGGTGCGAAGGTAATTAATCAAGATTAACCTGTATAATGTATTACGCGATGAGAGTTATTTGCATTTGTGGGAGTTTTGCATGCGTGCGTGCGTGCGTGTGTAAGTCTTTCTCGATTTAAATACGGAGTTGCGCTATGTATATAGATATTAATGAATGCGCGGAAAAGCTGGCATGTCAATGTCCGGATTGCAGCTGCAAGAACACGTGGGGAAGTTACGAATGCAGTTGCGGCGGCCAGTTACTCTACATTCACGAACACGACACTTGTATTAGTAAGTACGATCGTGATGATTAATCAATATTTTACGTTTTTTCTTATTTATTGATTAATTTAAATAAATAAAATAAAAAAGCAGGTAAAGATGCAGCTAATTCAGAAGTTAGCTGGGGAGTAATGTGGGTAATCATTCTTGGCTTGACTGTGGCTGGAGTTGCTGGATATGCTCTTTACAAATACAGGATCAGGGTATGTATCTATCTATATTACTGTTAAAATACTTTTGTTGGGACCAAATTAATATTTGGATATGTTATGAGTAGGGGTGGAAATCGGAACAATATTTCTGGTTTTCGCTGATTCCGATTCGAAATTTTCCGATTTTGGAAATATATTCTTCATTCTAAATCCGAAAATTCCAATACCGATTTTTTTTCAATTTTTTTTCGGAATGGAATTGAACGTATACAAGATTCCGATTTCCGTTCCGGTTTTAAGTTCATAAAATAATTCCCAGAAATCCAATTTTTCCGAAAATTACACTTATAATATCAATATTATTATGTATTCTTCTATTTTAGTTAGGTGACTAAATATGGGAATTTTCTGAATTTCGATTTGAAAGTTTCCGAATGAGTTTTTCATTCCAATTTTCGATTTTTTGGAATCAGTTTTTCACTTCCAAAAAAAAATATTGTTTGTTTTTTTCCGAAAGTGCTAATTTCCGCACCTAGTTACGAAGAAAAGAAACATATGAATATGATGATGTTATGAAGAAGTTGATGTATGTATATGCGCAGAGATACATGGACTCGGAGATTCGTGCGATCATGGCTCAGTACATGCCATTGGACAATCAACCGAATCACATGCCTTCTCAAGTGACGACCGTTTGAACTAACGATCGGAATCGCATGCCGTTAGATTTTGTCTTTTCTTTTCTTTTTGCTCTTTAAGAACTCAATTGCGGTTGTACACGGTAATCCAGGTTAAGTTCGAGTCCGGCTACTTTTTTTTTCCAGAGGCAACCAATTTAATTACGAAAAAAACAGATGTACGTACACAGCATTATAATCAACACAAACATGTCAAAACATACTATTTGTCGAGCGTCTATCCCTGTTTTGCACTTTACGCAAGTATAGATACGGAATGACAAAATGTTTTTTTTATTTCGAAAATGTAGTTAACATAAGCAAACCCATTTTTGCGATTTCTTGTTCAAAATGTAACATTTCGAAAAGGGTAAATTATAACCACCCCTGAGGTATGGCCAATTTACGAAAAAAAACCTCTAGTTTGGATAATTACATCTACACCTCAACTATGATTTTTTCTTACATCTCCACCCTTATGGTGTTAAATTCAACATAATCAACTAGATTTCGTGGAATGTGATCTAGTTTGTACTCGTTTTGTGTAAAAATACAGTTTATGATGCACCACAATCTGATATATACAAGCCAAAAAACACATATTACGATCATCTTGCTTCAAAATGTGGAGTTCGAATGGGATAAAACGGGTACAAAAGTAATAATATTCCATATAATCTCGAAGATTCCACTAAATTTGAAACCGCAAGGGTGGAAGTGTGAGAAGATTTATAGTTGAGGGGTAGTTGTAATTACTCAAACAGGAGGGGGGGTTTTGTAATTTAACCATACCTTAGGAGGTGATTGTAATTTACCCTTTCGAAAATTGTTTCAGAAGGAATGTGATTTTCTAATAATAACATACAGTATTTAACGTCTTTTCGACAAAATGAGAATCTGGAAAAAGAATTACACGTCTTTTCGACAAAACTATCATAAAAAAATCCTATACATCGAGAACAAAACAATATGATCGTCCATGGAAAAATTTAGTCGAATGGAATTTCACAAGTTTCGTCAAAAAAAAAAAAAGAAAAAAAAAAGGGTAATGAACAAGAAGATCAGACCTTTGTTCGTCTAACGAGGAATTTAATTCAGAGGATTCTACATACATACAGCTTCAGTGGTCACAGAGTTTACGTTTCGTTGCGCTTGTTTTAGTAGAAGAGCCCAATCGTTTTTTTTTTTGAGCAGGGGAACGAACACCTTTGTCAAAAACGGCAGAATTATTATATTGAGCTACCTTCAGTTGTCGACTCTCCCACAACTTGTGCCGAAAAATGCAGTTACTTCCCGTTTGTCTTTACTGCACACAAATATTATATATTAGTAGAGAACAAGAAGAAAAAGTATTTGTCTTTCTCATTAAAAGTTCGTTTAATACTTCAAAATAAAAAAAAATGTAACTTTAACGGAATCTTTTTAAGAACGGAGGGAATATTCAATTGTTAGAATCTTTTGATAAATTGTGAAATTTTCAAATAAATAAACCATTTTATAGTTTAAAACTGATATTTGCAACCAATAAATAAATAACTTTAAAAACTACTATTTTTATGAAATATTAATTTATATTACTATAAAAATAATCTTTTATTTTGTGGATATGACTTGAATTTAGAAACCTACTTCAAATAATTATAATATCAAAAAATTTATTTACATTTTTTATGTTCTTATGTTAATATTTAAAGAACTAATTCAATTATATATGTTTTTTGCTAGTATTTACTAATTTGTTTATAGTTTATCACAAATAGTTATACGAAAATAGAATATTCCATCCGATAAATAAAATATTCTATTAAAATTAAAAAAATTATACACCGACGGACTAAATTGAGATAAGTTGTAGAGTTGAAGGATGATACTGAGACAATAGGAACATGAGGGACTAAAGTGGGTCTTTGGCTAAGCTTATTTTAAACAGCTGATAAGCTCTTATGTTTGATAAAATGTTTTAAGAACTGATAAGTTGTTACAGCCTATTTTTAGGATTAATTTTTAGAGTGTTTGGATAATGAGTTTATTTCTTATTTTTACTTATTATAAATCTTAAATAAAAAAGTGGGGTAAAGTACTTTTTTAAAAAGATTTTATTTGCTCTCCAACACATTATTTAAAAAAAAATTAAGATCTTTTTTTAAAAATTTACCAAACATTTTGGAAGAGCTTATAAGCTCTAAAACATCTTATAAGCTCCTTTTAACCTATTATAAGCTTAGGCAAACACCCTCTAAATACTAAGATGAGGGACTACTAGTGAGATTTTTTTTATTTTTTTTTTAATTGGAGTAAAAGAAAATTAAATTTTACCTCTCTGGAACCATGATCTTCGGACGACCTGGCGAATATGACGCTCGTGTTTTTCCAAGAGTTCATCGATTCTTTTCGATTGAGAAAGCAAAGGCCCCGAAAATTCAACCTTCTCCCCTTGTTCATCATATACCTGTTTCGATCAACTCCGCATTATATTTAAACGAATACATTTATCGAAAATTACAAATATAATAGCATTTATCGGAATATACCAAGTTGATTCTCTTGGCAGACGCAGAATCCCCTTTACGATAAAGTCCCATCGACAGTTCCTGCGAGTGGTATTCGTCGGAAGCATCGAACGAATCGGGGCGCTCCAATTGGGTCCATTGTTTAACAAGCATCGAACGCTTGATGTTCTCGTAGGAATATTCCTGGCCTTTGGTGTTATTTACGAGTTCGCCCTTCGCGTCCAAGTTGTTCCTCAAATGCAGAGCACCGCCACCGGAAGAAGAAGACCGACTTCTTGATCGCAACGATGTGTCCATCATTCTTTTTTTAGCCCAAGCGAAACCGCTCGATCCCGAAACTTGTAAAGGTCCCGACGAGTGAATATCTTCTTCGTCGCCCCCTTTGGAAGAAGCATTTCTCACATGGGAAAATGTCTCCTTCGTCGCACTAACTGATATTTTATTCGGTTCACCATGCCTTTCGAGGGGCAATTCCTGTCAAATATTAAATTTAAATTTAGTGGGACGAGAGAGAGAGAGAGAGAGAGAGAGAGAGAGAGAGAGAGAGAGAGAGAGAGAGAGAGAGAGAGAGAGAGAGAGAGAGAGAGAGACCTCTTGTGGGGCCAATTTATTCATCCCATTCTGCTTTCTAGTCTGCTTTCTTGGTTCGGGTGCACGAGATCTTCCACCAGGTCTTTTCCTAAACAACACACATAAATTAAATTCGAAGATTTGAAGACCTAAAATAACACCAATGAATTCGAAAACGCAAAATTATTACCTGCTTGCCACTTCGTGATGTTTACTGTCAATCTCCTTACTAGGTGGATACTTCGGCAAGCTCGACGGATCACAAGCGTACGGCTTCGTCTTGAAATACTGCATGCAAAACATGTTGGAACATTATTCCAACGTTGGACTTATATGTGAAATATTATGTGTTGCAAGACTGTCACGTAAAGTTAAGCCCGTTAAAGTGATCGACTAAAGTTTATCTGGATTGGGCTTTAATGTGTCTAATAGGGTGTGGGCCTTTAATGTGTAGAGACATTAGGGTAATTTTATTATAGTGATGGGCTAAAATAAAATTACACAAGATAGCCCATTAGGTTATCTATATATATTGGTCATGGTCCCCGGGTCACATGTACGAATTCCATTCTCTATGTATTCCATCGACATAAAGAAAACGAAGAGAAGTCTAAAGGATTCTCGGGTTCGGATGTACATGATGATCTGGAAGATCCATGATTGTTTCATATCAATTCCACCGGAGTAAGGTACGCTTCCGATTTATATTTATGCACAATATTCTTGATGATTCGGCATGACGGTTCCATGGGATTTATTCAAGTTTATTCCAACAAGTGGTATCAGAGCCGATTTATATTTATGCACAATATTCTTGATGATTCGGCATGACGGTTCCATGGGATTTATTCAAGTTTATTCCAACAAGTGGTATCAGAGCCGACCATGTTCGAATCATCTAGATTTTTCTTACTTATTTTGATTGATTCTCTGTGTCATGAAATTGATTTTCATGGATTAAGTTTATTTGATAATTTGGATTAAAGTTTTTCGGCAATAAGGTTACCGAACTAGGGTTAATTAAAAAATTTCGGTGACTCATTAATCGGACTGAGGATTAAGGTTTAAATCTGAAAATTCCAACTTAAGGGGTGGTTATTGGATGGCGGCCGGTAATGTTTGCCCGGCCGAGCCACCCACTGCCGCCGGTTCAATTCAGGTTACCACCGCCATTAAAGTCAGCAACCCACCAGTTCAAGCATCATATCAACCCCAATTCAGTCAACAAAAAAAAAAAAAAAATGGGGGGATTCTTGCTTCGATTGCCATCGCGATTCAGCTAAGGAGTTGACGGCTCTTCGGTTTCTCAGCGACTCCTCCGCGATGACAAGGGTAAATCCGACAACCATAGTTTAATTTCCGGCGGCGAATAAGAAGATTCACGCGTCCCTCGTCTTTCGCGACGATTGGTCGTGCTATTCGCCAAAGGAGATCAGCGGATCGCCGACGGTGGACTCCGCTGGCGAGAGGATTGTCTGGATCTCATTTCCGGCGGACGGCGGTTTATGGTATTAAGGGTGGGCAGCGGTTTTGAGGTTGAAGAGAGATCTTGCGGCGATTGATTTTGCTGGAGAAGGAAAATTAGGTTTATGAAGTTTCGGAAAATATCAATTTAACCCCAGATTTAGGGTTAGGGTTTCCATAATTTCAAATTTGGTCCCCTAATTTAAGTTATTCCTGATTTTGGGCCGGGGTCGATTTGAAATAATGAAAAATCCGTATTACAGCCTCAGGCTTTCGAAAACTGCATTTCAGTCCCCGTTTTTCAAGTCTCTCTCAAAACAGTGATATACATTCAGAAAATACAGTTTAACCCCCAAAATTAAGTATTTCTGAATCTTAGGTCCCTTTTCACTCAAAGGCTTTTCTTTCAAAATTTCTATTCAGTCCTTCAAATTTTTTGTTTGGATTTTCTGAATTTGGGGCAAATGCAATTTTTTTTAAGGAATGAAAAAAATTGATTTTAAGTTTTACAAAAGGTTTTGGGGCCACTTGAAATTTATGTTTTATGAAGAATCAAACGAATAAGTGAATTATTTTTTAATTCTCTTTAAGAACTTGTTTGGTCAATAAAGTGAGATTCAGTTTGAATTTCAATTTAGTTTCCTGAGGGATTTTATTTTGGGGAATTTCAGATTTCTAAAGTTCGGGTCTTTTAGGATTGAAATTTTGGATTAATTAGTCAAATTATGGATATGAATTATTATAATTCAATTGGTTTTGACTCATTGAAGTTTCGTTTGTTTGTCAATATATGTATGAGTTATCATGTATAACTCAATAAGCTTTGACCCAATCGATATTTGACTCGTAGACTCGTGACTTTATTATAAATTTGAGTCTTCATTGTTTTGTGAAAATTCATAAGAATTTAGATTTATTTGTCAGAAATTTATTGTTGGCTTTAAATCTAATAAGGTTGAATTTGTGAGCTCATTTTTTTTACTTTAAGCTCAAATACAAATAAATATGAATTTTATGATTTATGGTTTAGGCTCATCTTTGGGTTATAAAGTGAAGATTTCTAGTTGACTTTATTTTGACTTTAAATCTAAATAACGTGGGATTTGGGTTCATAAGGTAATTTAATTAGGCCTCTGACTAAAGATTGTTTGAGAAAGTCTAAAGGCTTAAATTCAGTTAAAATTCAAATATTGGTTTGGTTTATGTATTTTGATATGAATTAAGAGAAGCAGCATCTCGCCTAAGTGAGCTCTCCTGTGAAACTTAATTTATTTTAAAATACAAAAGGTTTTGTGCATGTAATAATGTGGGTATTGTGTCGGCCCTAAGGAAGGCCAATACTTTGCTTAATTGCATGTGCATATTGTGGTGGTAAACGCGTGGCGATTATTTGGTGTTTTGCATGTGAATAATAGTTTGGCCCTAAGGTAGAATTATTATTTGATGTGCTCTTATTGTCAGTGTTTAATTACTACACCAAGATATCACTTACAAGTTAATATCATTGTCCAAAGATAAGTTATTAATGGAGTGTCCGATATCTTGAGATGGAATATACCTTTATTTGAATTTGCGGTTATATATAATAAATATGTGACGGTTATTAGAATTTCATGTGAACTGTAAATTGGCCCTAAGGTAGATTTATTGTTTGACACGATAGTTTACCGTCAATATTTATTTATAAAAAGTTGCCGCTTAAAATAGTTAACGAGTCGTCCATAACGTCATGTTAACATTGGGCTAGGTATTTTATGATAAATGAACCCATTTCCGTTTAATTATGTCATACATACATAGATTCTATTTGATATTTTTATGACATAATAGTAGTTGTGAGCATGTCTTCTTGTTTATGTTCTCTATTTAGTTCATGCTTCCGCTTCTGTATTCTCTGTCAATGTTAATTTTGGTTCTTGTGCTTTATAGCACAATTTACTTATTAAATAGATCTTGATTTTACCTTTTAAATAGAACGAATTAAAAGTTTACTTAATGTTAAGATAAAAAGGACTTAAAGAATATGATCGTTCTAATTATACATATTAAGATCATTTAATGCACCATTTAAGAAATCTTTAGGGGCATGAAGATTAATAGGGCAAGTATTAGAATGTTTCTTAAGGCACTTTTGATACGTTTTATTATTAAAATGACAAGTTTGAATCAAGTATAATCTTGTTTCATAATTAATAAGAGAAAAGAAACATAAAGGAGTACATTCAGTATTAGTCTAATCTCATTTTCGGCTTAAGCACTAAAGTTACGATTATTTATTAACTTTAAAGTGCATATGGTTTGATTTTTCTTTCTACATCTATAGTCAACATAAGTTTTGTTTCAAAACCTAAGTACTGCAATGTATGTTTTTTTTAAGATGGGATCTATAAGATCTCTTAAAGATATTGAGTTTAAGGGGGAGAAAGGGTTATACTCATTGTTGAATGAAAGAGAAATTGCTTCTATAAGATCTAAGTACTGCAATGTATGTTTTTTTTAAGACGGGATCTATAAGATCTCTTAAGGATATTGAGTTTAAGGGGGAGAAAGGGTTATTCTCATTTTGTTGCTATAGACAATAATAAAAATAATTTCTTCTCCCACATAAAGGAAATTGCTCCTTAAAAATAAACTCAACAACCTTAAGAGAATACAATATTAAATTGAGTTAAACTTAAGATGATAATGACATTTAGGATCTTATCAATTGTCAAAAGTGTGAAATCATTTGGTCGCAAATGTATGTTTGAGACCGTTTGATTTCAATAGATAATGTTGAAAAAGTTATAAATACAGTCCAATCACCAAGAGCTTCACTTAGTACGGGCTCTATTTTAGAGTTTTAGGATTCTCTAAATGGTGTTACAACTCATAATGATTATCTCATATTTGTGAGGTAAATAAAGTTAATGTTTGTACATACCATGTGATATGTGGGAGATAATTCTGCACCTCTCATTCAATGTCCAATAAATATTCTACGGTAAAGAAGAATGCAAAAGGTTCCCTATGCTGTCAGCTTTTGGAAATTATATGCACACTTCGGTATGTACGCATTCGGCTAAATCGTACATAAAGTTAGGCAGATATATAAATAATCCTTTGAAGTGGATCTTTGAATATAAACAAAAGGGTTATACAGTAATTATAGAGAACATAAGGTCATTTATGCTCATTTATCGAAATCAGTTCATTTGGGAGATCATTTGGTTTTTTGATTTCGAGTTTGTATGATGCTTGTACATTATAGATCCATTTAATGTATATCTAATTAAAAGAGAATTTAAGTACGAGTGTTTTGCCAACACCCAAAACTCTTTTAACTACGATAATTAGTTTATAAAAGCATCTTATTTTTGTAATATACAGAGTGGATAGGTGTCTATAGAATACGTCGATATAAACTCCATTATGTGTGCACACTAAGGATGTCACCCAAAAAGGTCTCATGAGCATATTGCTCGTATGGGTGTCATATTAATTAAGGATATTCGGTTTTAGTGGGAGTTTATAATAAATGTGTTCTTTTGGCGTAGACACAAATTTTTGGGTTAATTCGGATTAAGGATACTCTTAGGATAATTTCTGCAGAAATAAGGTTTTGGTTTATTCACACTCTGATTTGTTAAGGTTTGATCTCGTTAAGGAGGACCAATTGGAAATAGGTATGTTAAGGTCACATTGCATGACATTTCCATGCTACACATCCACATCATAATCTATGTCATTCAATTGTGTTGATATTGTGACCATTGTTGGGTCCCGTTACGACTAATGTGAACGAAGGCCCCTTTGATTCAGTGTTAGCATGATTGATGGACGAGATTGGTTATAGACACACTTCAGTAATGACAGCAAAGTTGAGCTCAAATTTTATTTATGCAACCTATAATTATAAAGTTACACATATAGTCCAAGTGGGAGATTGTTGGAACATTATTCCAACGTTGGACTTATATGTGAAATATTATGTGTTGCAAGACTGTCACGTAAAGTTAAGCCCGTTAAAGTGATCGACTAAAGTTTATCTGGATTGGGCTTTAATGTGTCTAATAGGGTGTGGGCCTTTAATGTGTAGAGACATTAGGGTAATTTTATTATAGTGATGGGCTAAAATAAAATTACACAAGATAGCCCATTAGGTTATCTATATATATTGGTCATGGTCCCCGGGTCACATGTACGAATTCCATTCTCTATGTATTCCATCGACATAAAGAAAACGAAGAGAAGTCTAAAGGATTCTCGGGTTCGGATGTACATGATGATCTGGAAGATCCATGATTGTTTCATATCAATTCCACCGGAGTAAGGTACGCTTCCGATTTATATTTATGCACAATATTCTTGATGATTCGGCATGACGGTTCCATGGGATTTATTCAAGTTTATTCCAACAAAACAAACAAACAATCAGAAAAAAATAGTCATTTAATACGTGACATTTTTTTATTTTCTTTTTCTTTTATCAAGAATTGCGTTTCTTTTTTTTTTTTTTTGTCGAAAACGAGTACCTCCGATGAAAGGGCTGAAGTTGCCGTACCCCTTTTGTGTGCCTCCACAGATAGAAGAGTTTCTAAAAGTGACACACAAGCTTCCGGCATATCATCAAAAGTTTGCCAAAGAGAACTCTTATATGGATATTGTGGTTTAAACAAAGTCGCGTGAGGAAGCTTCGTTTTCTTCCAATAATCGTCGGCTGGCGACCCACAAAGCTTGAATATTTTGTGCAACTGTTCAACCTATTCATACGAATAAAATTTTGATCATAAACTTTCAAGATCATTTAAACAAAACAAAAAAAAAGAGCAGAAGGGTATTTTGGTAATTTAACCTCGGTCCTGCCTTGGAGAATAGGTTTACCGATGAGAAGTTCAGCCAGTAAGCAACCGACGCTCCAAATATCGACCGACGGCCCATAATTGGTGGACCCCAGTAGAAGTTCCGGCGGGCGATACCATAAGGTGACGACACGGCTCGTTAGAGGTTGCCTCTGCCCATAATTACTACAAAAAAAATTCGCTAATCCGAAATCGGCAATCTTCAAAACCCCATCGTTATCGACTAAAAGATTCGCGCCTTTGATATCCCTATGCATCACTCCTCTCGAATGACAATGTTCGAGCCCCGATAATAGTTGCTTCATATAGCATTTCACCTTCAAAATTAAGCCCCAAAATAAGATTATAAATAAAATATTTATTGCAATTAATAAAAATATAAAAGAGAATTTAAAACCTGGGGTTCGGTGAAAGTGATGTCCGGGGAAGATAATAGTCCCGAAACGTCATGCTCCATGTACTCGAACACGAGATACATTGTGCATGAAGATCGAGAAGTGATTAGTCCTTCCAATTTTATAATATTTGGATGGTCGAGTCGTCGAAGGATTAATATCTCTCTAGCCATAAAACGAACACTTTCCGGCTCGAAATTGTCGAATCGAACCTTCTTCAGAGCAACTATGCGACCGGATTCGAAGTCGCGTGCTCTGAATACCGTGCTGTACGTACCCTGACCAATCTGTTTAAAGAAACCATCGGTGAACAAAACTAAAAACTATTAGTTAAACCTCTATAAATTAATACAATAGGGACTAGCAAAATTCTATTAATTTAGCAAAATACTAAATTATCCAACTAATAATTTAGTAGTTTTTCAACGAGTCCGGATCAGAAAAAACTATTATTCAAGCGATATTATTATTAATTTATCTATATACACTTAAACCTCTGCAATCCTTTATAATTAATACAATCCTTTATAAATTAATACAGGTTGGACTAGCAAAATTTTATTAATTTAGCAAAATATTAAATTATCGAAGTAATAATTTAGTAGGATTTTTACCGGGTCACGACCAGAAAAAATTATTATTTAAGCGGTGTTATCGAAATATTTTAGTACTAATTACAATTTAAAATTAGTAATTAAGAGCTAAACCTTTTCAAGTTTCTCGAAAGAGTCTGCTTTGAGTGGAACCCAGCCGTGGATGGCTTCTCCGGCCACCGCGCTCAGCCACGACGGCCAACCCGCGGCCGCCTGCTCCCCTTCAACATACTTGTGCAAGTTCCCCAGCCTGAAACTCACCGACTCGCTCCCGCACCCGTTCGAACTCGTCCGCCCCGACTCACCCACCTCGCTCCCGGACTCAGTCGCCCCCCTCTTCTTAACCTTCTTCAAGTTCAATTCCAGCTCGGCCACCAAACCACCATCGCCGCCCGCGGTGGAGCTCCCCACCCGGCTCCGACCCGACCCGCCGTTCAACGCCCCGGAGTGATCCAACGCGGCCGGCGTCACCGACACCGTCTGCTTCGACGACACGCAGCCCATGAGTGCGCGCCACCAAATCTCGTCACGAACCCAGCACCGGCGCCGCCGCCGCCGCCGCCACCATACTTGTTAAAAACAAAAAAAAAAACCCAGATTAGAATATGCTAAAATTCCTTTGACCCGGGTCAAATTCAGTACCACGAAAGCAATAATGCCAATTATTCAGATCATTGAAAAAAATTCGAGCTTCCGCTTTTTTATATGCAGTCAATAAAAGAAACCCCTCTTTCTCTCTCTCTCTCTCTAGCTTAAATTTAAATGCGGAAATTGCGGAATTTGAGCGGAATAAACGGAATGACAAAAGGCGTATGGCGTATGAGCCGAAGGAGGGGGAATCTACACAGTGTAAAAAGGAAGAAAGTGGCAGACCGCAGACCTATGTACAAAAAGAGACTGTTTTTTTGACTTTGTAGTGTATTTTGTTATTTAATTAAAATTTGGGTGTTTTTGGTATTTATTTGAAAGTTTATTTGGCGTTGACGCGTTGTGTGTTATGTATGGCGTATATAGTGACAGAGAATGAGAATTTAGGGGTTGGGAAGTGAAGACCAATCATGGAGCGCGTGTGGGAGTGTGTGATTTTGAGGGTGCACTTTGGTTTGGTTTGGTTGGGTTGGGTTGGGTTTTAGGTTGGGTTGGTTGGGTTCATGAATTGATTCATTTGTTTACATTTGTTGTACTAAATATTAAGCCTAGGGATAGGGGTGGCAATTTCTCAACTTGGACCGGATCCGATCCGGATCCATGTGGATCGGATGCAAAAGGAACCGGATCCAATATCAACCTACATGAATGAATTTAATGTGGATCGAGTTTAGACCAATCCGGATTGGATCCACATGGATTCATTGCATCTTTAATTCAACTTATGAGGTTGAATATCTCAACTTTTAGGGTTTAATATCTCAACTTATGTGGTTTAATATCTCAAATTTCACAATTACACATATTCACACACACACTTTTCACACACACACATATACACATACTTTTTTACACACACGCACACACACTTACATGCATATACACACTCTGTTTATATATATATATATATATATATATATTTACATTTATATACATGTTTATATATACACATACACACACACACTCGTATACTCACACACACACACACACTCGTATACACACACACACACACACACACACACACACACACACACACACACACACACTATTTACACACACACACACTCTGTTTACACGTATACACACACACACACACGCTGTTTACATACACACACACACACTCTCTGTTTACACACACACACACTCGTATACACACACACACACACACTCTGTTTACACACACTCGTATACACACACACACACACACACTCTGTTTACACACACACAAATACATGTATATATATATATATATATATATATATATATATATATATACACACACACAAACACACACACACACACACTCACATATACACACACACACACACTCTGTTTACACACTGTTTTACACACACACACACACTGTTTTACACACACACACACTCACATACACACACTGTTTTATACACACACACACACTCACATACACACACTGTTTTACAGACACACACACACACTCACATACACACAATTTCTACACACACACACTCTCTCTTTTACACACACACACACACACACTCGCATACACACACAGTTTCTACACACACACTATTTTACACACAAACACACTCACATACACACACAGTTTTTATTAATATACTCATTGATAATTTTTTATCAATTAAATTTTTAATTAAAATAATATTTGACTTTTTTTGTGAGAAAATTGTTTTGATTGGGTTTTGGTTGGATCCAATATGATCCACTTTATTTTGTGGTTAAACTTTCAATGGATCTAAAGAGGATCCACATGGATCCAGTTTTAAAAAAAAATCAACTTGATCCGATCCGGTTTGTTTCAACTAGACTTAATCTAAACTGGATCCTTATGGACCGAACCGGATCTAATCAGATCCGTGGAACCGGATCCAAATTGCCACCCCTACCTAGGGACAAGAAAACAAATACTCCACAAGGAGTTAGTTAGAGTATTCACATGCAATATTAAGTAATGGGGAAAATACAGTTTTCACCCCTCAAGTGTGCACTGATTTCACATATGGTATTTTATGTTCACAAAAAACACATTTGGTTCATCATGTTCCAATAATTCAACAATTTTGTTCATTTCCGTCATTTACCGTAGTCTTTTAGTTCAGACAGTGACGGGCACACGCTTGATTCGGTTAGTTTTAACGGGAAATTGACGGAAATGACTAAACTTGTTGAAGTTTTGAATATAAGGGACAAAATATATTATTTTTTGAACATGGGGACCAAATGTGTAATCGGTGAAAACTTGAGGGACCAAAACTGTATTTTTCCCTTAAGCTATGATATAACTATTTTAATTGAGAAAATTATTATTTAATTCCACTTTTTTTTATTATTATTTTTTTTTATAAGGAAGGAACTTGCGGTCAATTTGATCGTAGAAAAACTGGCAAGAATTATTGAACCATAGTCATCTTAGATCGTCACGGAATAATATTAGATGAAAGCTTCTCAATAGGTTGTATATTTAGACATAACCACAAACACTACTTTCAATATTGATTTAAATTTCCAAGTTTATATTTTTAATACTTGAGATGAGTCCTTCATTTCGCTAAATTTGTCACAGTATCAACTTAGTTAACTCATGAATTTAAATTAGTTGACTCAACTGATCAATGATTAAATTAATTGATTTATAATTCCCTGAATGATCGAATCAATGCTTAATAATTTATGAACATAATTCCCTGAAAAATTCGTACACATGCAGTTTTGCACGTAGGTCTTACACGCCTATCAAAGATTGGTCTAGCTAGTTGGTGGAGTGGGCTAACATGATGTCTAACAAATGTTTGATTCTCTTTATGAATATTTTTTAGCTCGAACTCGTCGCACATAACTTATATATATTACCAGATCTCTGAACTACTACAGTAAAATGAAATTTATTCAAAACAAAAGAATAAAATTGCATGGAAAATAGTTTTCCAAAAATTTGGTAGCCAATCCCAAAAAGCCTAGTGAGTAATGACAATATTGTTTGGAGTGAATTTTCAAGTTGACCGGCTATTACTTTGACTTGAAGACCCTTTATTTGATTGGTCAGCTGGCAACTGTTTATTGAGAGTATTGATTAAGCTAATGCTTCTTGGTCGCCTCATGTATCCAATTACATAAAAGTAGTACATAATTAATAATTTATTAATCTCATATTCACTTGATCCAAGTTTAATAAAATATCACAATAAAGTTTATATATATTTTGAATCATAATTAGTTTCATTTTTAAATTCATCAGTCATTTAAATTTCTTATTTTATATATGTTGAGATATGATAAATGTCGTTTTAGCTTTAATAATACAGTTTCGACTTCAAATAATATGTTGACCATTTTCGAGTACAAATTCGGCAAAAATCCAGAACATGGAATTCGTAGGTTTTTTTAGTTGATTTTCTAATCCAACTTGAATCAGCAAGATTGGATGTCTGATAGAGAAAGATATACATAAATCAATAAACACTGTCCACAACTTTAATGTTTTGAGTCATTTAAAATTCAATAAGTGACTTATGCGTGCATAACTTTTTCACACGACATTCATTCTAGTTGATTCAAGTATTACAAAGTTAACTCAAAAGACTTCAATTTGGATGTTTCGAATTTTGCCAAAATCAGACTGAAAATGGGTAAAATCAGATTTGAAGTCAAAATAATATTAGTAAAAATGAAACCACATCTAATATTTTAGAAATATGTTTATATTAGTAAATTTCACGTAAGACCCTTGTAAGATATTATTTAATATTCAACTATGAAAATTAAAAGTGCAAATTACAACCACCCCTGCGGTATAGTCAATTTACGAAAAAATCCCTCTTGTTTGTATAATTACATCTACCCCATCAACTATGATCTTTCCTTACACCTACGCCCTTATGGTGTCAAATTCAACATAATCATCTAGATTTCATGGAATGTGCTCTAGTTTATAATCGTTTTGTATAAAAATAGAGTTTCTGATGCACCACAATCTGATATATACAAGCCAAAAAACACATATTATGATCATCTTTGTTCAAAATGTGGAGTTCGTATTGGATAAAGCGGGTACAAAAGTGATAATATTCCATATAATCTCGAAGATTCTATTAAATTTGAAACCGTAAGGATGGACGTGTAAAAAAAATTATAGATGAGGGGGAGTTGTAATTACCCAAACAATATGAGATTTTTCGTAATTTGACCATACCTTGGGATAGTTGTAATTTACCCAAATTAAAATGACTTAGATATTGTCCGCGTCATCACTTTTTTAAGAACCAAACACTACTCAACTGTCATGATGTGGCCTGAAATGGAGAAGGAATTAGATGTAAGAAATATATTTGTTTATAATACATGATAATGATAGTGTTGTTTGTTTATATAAAGTGATGACTAAAGACAAAAAAGAGTGGATGTGATTGGTTGGTTTTCATGCTATATATATATATATATATATATATATATATATATATATATATATATATATATATATATATATAATTGCATGGATGACTTCTTCTCTTGGGACCATTCTAATTGGACAAACATTCATTTCTCTAACCCATTGAGTACATTACTTGATGCGGCTCATTGAAATTGAACAAGTCTGAGAGTAGTGGAGGAATTCTCTTAAGTATTTTCTAAATTTAGTATATTAAAAAAAATATATATTAAATAAAAATAATGGATTAAAATTTTATGGTTGTTCGAGGATAAAGGCCCGATTTTTTTTTTATGTTTTTTCTCTTTTTAAGGAGTACTAGCATTTTTTCTCGTGCGATGTATACGGGATAGCATTTCAAAAATAAAATAATGATTAGTTTAATACATGACAAAAATAATTATAATAAAAATTAGGGCAAAGTTCAGTTTGCACCCCTGAATTATGGGGTATGTAACAAAGACCCCCCTAAATTACAAAACGTACCAAAATAGTCCCTCTATTTCCAATTCATTTGTGGTGTGCTAATGTGTCAAGTTGACTTTCTCAAATTAATATTTTTTGACATTTTTACCCCTAACTTGTTATATCTATATGTATAAAAATATACACAATTTATTTTATGTATGAATATATTTTGCCCCATAATATTTTATATTTTCTTAAAATATTAATATAGTAAAATGTTTAATTTATATTTTCATTTAGTTAATAATATTGTTCTCACACATACTCATTATCATCTCCATTTTTTGTCCAAAATTAAGATTTATCTCATAATAAATTTATCGCCTAAAATTAGAATTTTATTTATTCATGAGCTTGTTTTGTCTTTTGAAGAACTCAATTTTGGAGAAAGAGAGATGTGCAAAGAAGAACTTATACTGGCGCAAAGAAAAAAGGAAAAATAAATAATAATATATATAATAGTAATAAGGGTAAAAAGGTAATTTCCCGCCCAAAACTAGTAGAGTTAATATTTTAATGTTTGACTAAAAAAGGCAGGGGGCTATTTGGT